ATTTGATTCCGAGGTGATTGGTCTTCATTGGTATTCATTCTTGTGATTGATTGGTTCATTCCTCGACTCAGCGGTATAACCATCTTGCTCTCTCCCTTTACATTAACGCAAACTAGTTGTCAAGCTCTTTAGTGTAGCTAGTCGTGAGAGCTTGTTAGTTTGGTTAGTGTGGCTCTTTAGTTAAGCACACTAACTTAGTGTAATGACATAGCCATTGTGTGGATAGAGACTATAGAAACTAGAATTGTGGTAGGTGGCTTACATTTTTAGTAGGCTAGCGAAACACTTGCTTCACCTCATATTTGTTTAACCGGTTTGCTAAGTGTTGTTGTAGAAATTTTTAATAGGCTATTTACCCCCTCTAGCAATTAGGACCTTTCAACCGGGCTCCCTGCCGCACCAGGCGCTAGCTGCGGGCGTGGCGCGTTAAGTGCATTTTATCGCGCATGCATCTCATATAGTGTTCATTTAAACATCGCCACGCGCCGGCGAGATCCTGTCCCCCCCTTGGCGGCGTCTCTCGGCGCTCCGAGCCACGCCCCGCCCCCATTTGCATTGACATAGCAACATCGCGGACGTCTCCCACTAGTCTACCACTCACGCTCCAAGGTGCTCCGCTCAGCTGCGGTGCCTCCACATCGAGCTGGCACTGACGATGGCGTGCTCCTAAAGTGGAAGGACGACTTTGGCTCCACGCTCGGCAGCTGCGTCATCCTCGGCGCCTCGTCGGTCTCGTCCAAGCCACCGACAGGGCCATGGTCCGGCGGTGGCGAAGGCGATGCGCTGCTTCTGGCCGCCGGAACCTGCTGCCGGACATGTGCTTCTTCAACTCGGTAAGGACACATGCTTCTGGCCACTGAAACCTGCTAGCGCTGGTGCAGCGGTTCTATGAGCCCACGTCCTGACGCGTGCTCCTATAGTTCAATCTGGCAAGGACGTGCGCAAGCACAACCTGTGGGCGCTGCACGTGGTTGCGGGATGCCGCAGGAGCCGTTCCTGTTTGCGGAGAGCATCCACGACAATATCGCATACGGGCGCGACGGAGGCTTCCGTCACTCCCGTGACTTCATTTTAACAGAATGATATTCTCAGTTCATTGTTCAATCTTTTAGTGGTATTTTACGGAGCGTCAAACTTTCGGTGGTATTTTACGGAGATCACGATCTTTGGACGCTACACAACCAATTTTTCCATAATAAAATCTCCACCAGCCTACATGTAACTTCATTCTTATACAGGAAAACAACTCACTGAGAAATGAAAAAACACAAAACGATCTGTTCGTTATCAGCGGCAACGATCGTTATACTAACAAAGATATATGCACGCTCTCGATCCTACTACATTCTTGTATGCTACTAGCTACATCAAATTAAGCTACAAATTAGTACTTATTAATGTCTATACCAATATCACACAGCACTATTGCACTCTCCATTGTACACACTCCAGCTGCAGGTATACAGAAAGGAACATGCGTTGACATGGTCCAAAAACTCAATATATAACTGCCGGTTTAAACTCAATATCATTCTTGTACCGGTTCAAAATCCGGCAGCGAAGGAAGGGTGGAGGGCGGGGGTTGAACCGGCTGTGAAGTGACGATACGAGACAGTGAAGCGTATGTAGACCACACGTGCATGCATTACACGAGAAAATTAGGGAGGCCGACCTTCTTCCCGGTTCTCTTGACATCTTCTTGCACTTTTCGCCTGTACTCTCCGAAGGTGAATGTCCTGTAAAGAGAAGGCTCTTCGCATGTGCCGATCGGCGAGTCGTAGGACGGGCAGAGAAAGTAGGCAACGGAGTAGCGCTCCGTCTTGGCGTTCGTCATCACTTTGTGCTCCACGCTCTTGTATCTGTTGTTGCTCCACGCCTTCAAAATGCAACCACACACCAAAAACTAAGAGGAAGCCACCGTACATTGGGGGTAAAACAATGCATAATTTGCATATGCATGAATGATGCTGATGATCCTACTAACTACTGCTACATTGTAGGTAAGTTAGGACTATATAATCTCTCTTTTTGGATAATAGCGATCACTTTATAGTACTCCATATAGTAGCTGTACTAGCGTGATCGAGAGCTCCCATTGGTTCCCTCGCAAAAGCTGCAATACACCATGTGGCGAGATGTGAGTGCGTAGTATCATGCATGGACAGGTGAGGTTCGGTACTGAGTGTTTTCCTGTCCCTCGAAGGCTCCAACTATCGGCGGAACAGCAGTACGGGGTTTTTTTTTTTTTGCCGAAAAGCAGCAGTACATGTGCATGCAGTACCGTCATGAACAGCGTTCCAGCCTTGCGCGACGCGCTGTGCGTGTCCGAGGACGTACGGGACAGCAAGCCCCACTTTTGAAGAGAGTTGGAATCGGAATATATATGTTCATCATATACTAGACTCTGTACTTGCACGAATGAAGACAGCTTGTGAGTGATAGATGTTTCTTCTCGTGCAGAAAACGATCGATCGATCGGTGTGGGCTTTAATTTGCTGCTAGTAGCACAGTAGCCAGTAGGTAGCTTAGCTAGGACGACGAGGTGGGGGAGGGGCCCAAACTCATGGATACAAATTCCCATACCCTATAGTCTATTAAGCATCAGTAAACTAATGAAAAGAGAAGTAGAGAACTGGCCAGACAGCCTAAGAAGATCGTCGACCTTTCTAGCTTTCTTTCCCAGTTTTCACCACGACGCTAAGATGAGGCAAGGAGCCACGCCGCACTCTGATCGCGATCACGACTCACGAGTTCGCGTCACACGCCGACACCGGACGCACACACGCTGTCACATGGAGCCGGCGAGGCGGCGACGAGCCGCGCCACCGCGGAGCTGGACAGCCAGAGAACGGTGCACGACGGCGGCGACTAGGCAGGGCTTCACCTCCACAACGATGACATCTTGGTTCTTGCCTTCTTGCCCATTGAGATCACCGATCAGTTGTTTCAGTTCATGTCAGGCCCTAGGTATTTTTTCCTTGTTCATTTTTAATCCAAATTAATTATTTGTATAGTATTTCTGATTTATAGTACTTTGTACTCATATAGTTTTTTTTCTTCTATAATTATCAGACATGTTAAATTAAAAATATATTATTGGATTTACTTTCGCTTTGCAAATAAAATTAGCGACATATATATTATACATGGTCCAGAGGTGTCGTCACGACGAGTTCGCCAGAGGGCGCTCAAAATCGTAGGACCGGCGCTGAACACAGCAGCTGCAACGTGCAAAATGATGCGCGTAACAACGTACCTGGAAGAGGTCCCCGATGTTGACGATGAGGGCGCCGGGGATTGGCTTGACGGCCACCCACCTGGTCCCCTTCATGAGCTGCAGGCCGCCGACCTGCTGGTCCTGGCAGAGCACGGTGAGGAAGTCGCTGTCCGTGTGCGGGACCAGGCCGAAGGCGTCAGCGGAGATGGGGCACGAAGGGTACCGGTTCAGCCGCAGGAAGCACGTCGTCTCGTCGCACCCCTCCGGGAAGCGCTCGCCAGCCGCGGGCCGCCCCCGCCCCAGGACGGCCTCCGCCAGGACGCGCGCCAGCGTGCCGGCCAGCTTTGACATCGCGCCCGCCACCTCCCGAGTCACATCCCTGCATACAGCGACGTCGGCACGATCGTGACTACTCCTGCTCCTGGTGGCTTTACTTACTTATTACTCCGGCCTATATGATATCATATAACAACTGTGTGTAACCTAAATATATATAATATAATATAATATAATATAATATAATATAATATAATATATTGTTGTGCCGACCTGAAGACCTTAATAATCCCCCCTATATTTTATTGCTATCTATATAATATGCAACTAGTACTAACAAGATTCAATGCTTCGAGCGAGCCCGGCCAATTATTATTGGAAAATCAAAATTTTCTTATATACTCTATAGAAAGAATAGAAAAATAAGACAAGAATATGGACGAAAAGAAATCCACTGATGTTTCATTAACTTGATTGATTGCGTGATCACCAGATCACCAATTTTTTTACTAGACCCATGAGAGAGGACCACTGATAGGACACATGCACACTTATATTATATAATAACCTCATTGTTGCTAGCCGTAAAAAAATGCATAGTAAATCAATCATGAATTTGTACTACTCATCATGGGTCAACGACTAACGGCGTGTTTAGTTTCACTCCAATTTCCAAAAAGTTGCTACAGTATCTGTCACATCGAATGTTTACGGTCCGTGCATGGAGCATTAAATGTAGACGAAAAGATAAACTAATTGCATAGTTTGATGGAAAATTACGAGACGAACGTTTTGAGCCTAATTAGTCCATGTTTGAACATTATTTACCAAATAAAAACGAACGTGCTACAGTAGCCCCAAAATCCAAATTCCTATAACTAAACAAGGGCTAACTTTGCATGAGTATCCACTGATGGACATCAGACAGACGTGAGTTATACAGTGGCAGCCCACCAGCAGCCACTGCACACTTTGGAGGATGATGGTGCCTAGCCAGCTTATTATTAACCGCCGTAAATCCAAGCGCCCATCCTTTTCCCGGCCAAATTACGTCGTGGCAGCTACTACTACTAGTACTTATTCCGCCGCACTAGCTAATCAGCGTCGTAGTCATGCAACCCCTATCGAATCATATATAACTATTTTTTTAGTTACCAGTCATCAGTCCCTCTAGGATGATAGGAAAGCTTTTTCTATAGTACAGATATTATTCCTGGTACTTGAGAAAATGCTGGGCAGAACTAGTTCGACTTGCACAACGAGATAGAATACAAGAATCTGATCGACAACGGTAGACACATGTCAAGCGCGGTATGACTAATGCTCCGTTCACTTGCCTGATAAGTTATTGTTGAAAGTACTGTTGGCTGATTTATATTGTGAGAGAAAAATATTGTTCGTCGATTGAAAAAGTACGGCTTATAAACCGAAGCGAACAAGACGTAAGCTCGTTCGTTAAAAAAAAACTAGGCACAAAAATGAAAAAAAGCACGGTATTTAGTTTTAGCTAATTGAGGAGACGTTCACACTTAACAGAAGTGATACTGCGCACGTATACGAACCTGAGGGTGGTGAGTTCGCCGAAGTTGCAGGTGCCGCCGGCGGCTGACCCGGAGACGCCGGCGAGCGGGACGTGGAAGGCCTCGGACCAGGACAGCTGCTGCGGGGACGTCGCGGTCGGGGTGCCCCAGCGGTAGGAGTCGTTGAGCAGGCCGGCCGTGGCCTTGGCCTCGAACGGCAGGCGGAACAGGCGCGCCTGCTCCCGCCGCATCGCGTCCAGGAGCGCCTGCGACACGCCGTGGTTGCGCACCTGGAAGAAGCCCCACTCCTCGGCGGCGCGCGCGATGGCGGCCGTGCACGCCGCGCGTTCCGCCTCCGAGGAGCAGCCGTCGTCGCTCGTCAGGCACCCGACGTCGATCATCGGGAGCTCGCACTCCGCCACGGGCACGTCGTCGTCTGAAGGCACTGTCGACGTCGCGTAGGCGCCTGCTTCATCAGCGCCGCCGCGGCGGCGGCGGAGCAGCGCGTAGTAGCTGTCTGCCAGCGGCGGCTCCGCTGCGCTCCCCGCGAAGGCCGGCATGGCTGGCTGGCTCCTGCTGGTCGATCGAGCAAAAACTAGTTGTCGTAGCCTGATGGGGGCTAGCTACCTCCTAGCTGTGTGCTGTGCGCTTGTCTGCCCGTGCGACCGTGCTGGCTCTATATATAGCAGTGGCGACTGGCGGTCGACGCGGTGGCTTGGCTTGGCTGGCTGCAGGTTAGCGCCGCCTCGCCTCGGGCATGTCTGCACCCACCGTAGTACACGCACGACGCAGCTGGGCACGCTCGTGGGCTCGTGGCGAGCAAGCTTAAATTAATCTTGCATGGGTCCGGCCGAATCTCCAGTGTTATATTATTATTAGCCGTTTAACTAAGCTGTGCTACTAATTGTGGTGGTTAGTCGACTCGAGGCGCGCCGGCGCAGGCCGACACTTGGATGCGGTAGACGCGTACGCAGCGCGTGTTTTGACTGGGCCAGCAGGAGGCCGGTCACTGGCACCGGGCGTGCATGGCGATGCGGACACTATTAATTTACTATCAACTAGTAGTACTAGTACGGGACCGGCCGGATTGAAGTTGAAGAGTGAACGCTGAACGTGCGTGTGCGTACGTCGTATAGGGACGCCAGCAGCGGGAAGTCTCTGGAAGGATACGGTACGGTGTACACAGGTCAGAGACAGCGTTGTCGGACCCGGTGCGGCTGCGGCTGCGCTTGCGCCCCAGCCTCGATCGGCAGCAGGTCATGGCCGCCCTGAGTCCATCGATGCCTGACCGGAGGCTACCATACGCGCGCGGTAGCTTTAAACCTGCTGTGGCACATTCTTGCCGCTCGTCACCGGATTACATGGCCTGCAGCTGCAGGCTAGCTAGTCGCGTGCATAGGCTGCTCTTCCATTGAGCCGCATGCATGCACAAAGTATACGGCCGGGCCCGGGCCTGGGCACATATACACAGGTGACGACATCTCCAGTACCGCCTAAAACACACTACTTACTTCTCTATTTAGGTAGTTATACATTTTTATATTACTTTTTTTTCTTGAACAACGCTACCTAAAATAGATCTCCCAAATCTATCCTCGTAGAGAATGACCCCTTCTTTGTTACCATTAACGAACGCGGTCATGGGGACGGGAGCATATGACGCCGCCGGGGGAGTGGCCAGAGGAGGTTGCCAGGGAGCGGAGGAGGCAGTGCCGAGGAAGAATCGTGTCGGGGCGGAGCCGTGCCCCACCGAGAGCCGCACCGTGGAGTGGCCAAAGGAGGCTGCGCCGGCGGCGGGGAGGCACGGCCGGGCAGTGCCCCGCCGGGAACCGCACCGGGGGCAGGGAGGCAGAGCCGCTGGGAGTGGCCGGGGAGGGGCGCGCCGTTCCTAGCCGCGCACCGGGGAAGCCGTCGGGGCAGGCCGCATCGTCGGAGAGAGGCGCGCCGGTCCTGGCCGCGCCGCCGAGGAAGTCGTCGGGGCAGACCGTGTCACCGGGGAGGGAGGTGCGTTGGGGCAAGCTGCGCGGGGAAGAAGTCAGACAAAAAAAAGTAGGAAGGGGGCTTGCTAGAGTTGGTTTTTTTTGCCTCCACAACCCAAATCCAAAGTAGGAGGTCAAGTAAGGGGTGTTGCTAGAGTTAGTTTTTTAGTTACCAGCAATGCTACCCAAATCAGACTCTCTACTTGGCTGTTTGGATAGCCACCTATTTTTATACTACCTACTTTTTTCTTTCAACTTCTCAACATAACCTAAAACAGACTACCTAAAATACATTCCAGTACTGAATGACACATGGGGCCCTTTTGTCATCCTCTCCCTCTTCTACTCTACGGCAGTGAAGATGCGCGGCGGGAAGGAGATGGCCACCGCCAGGGATGGCCCGCGCTCGCGGGGATGGGAGTCGCCAGGGAAGAAGCCGGCCGATGTGGAGGCTAGCTTGCATCCGCGCCGGCGAGCGCTCGTGCCGGGGAGGATGGCCCATACCAAGGAGACGCCTTCGCTAGGGAGGCCAGTTTGCGCTGAGGACCGCCTGACGAGCCAAAGAGAGGAGGCCTCAGAGAGAGGAGGGGCGGACTCTGATGGCCGCGGCGAAGCTCCCGGCTGCGGCGGTCGCGTCGAGCAGTGGAGGATCGGTGCAGGTCACACCGTGGAGTCGCGTGTGGGGAAGGAAGAAGTGTGGTTCAAAATTTGGGCTGTGAGTAGAGGGCCAATAGGAATAGGCAGTGGGAGAGGAAAAATAGGAGGCCAATAAATCTGGAGTTGACTTCTTTTTCTTTTACCTCCACTATCCAAATTGGAAGCAGGCGTGTTGCTACAGCTAGCAAGAGTTGCTCTTGTTAGACCTAAAACAGGATCACTAGTCATAGATCTAGCGTGTCTACTTGCTTTTGATTTAAACAGTGAGTCCTAGAACATCTACTAGTACAGGATAAGAGAAAGAGGGAGAGAAAGAGGGATGAAGGGGGTGCAAATCATCGGTCGCCTTAGGAGGAAGACGGGCTCGCCATTGTGATGCTTGGTGAAGACCCAGTGGCGGTGCTGTGTCGAAGGGTGGCGGTGTTGTGGCGGCGTTGGCCGGTGGTGGCACTTCCCATCGTTGGCAGCGCCCCCTCTGTGATTGGTTAAGGTTTAGGACTGTAGGTGGGGTGCTAGGCGACTTAGGCGAACCTCGTGCTTCACGCCCCGGCCCCCACCTCCTATTTATAGCGCTGTGCAATGGGGGCCCACCAACCATATTAGGGTTGGGTGCCCCCAATCAGGGTGCGGATCCAAGAGTCCAATTGGCCGTTGAGCCAATTGGTGGAGATCAACTAACATTCTCCCCCTTGATCTCACTTATAACTTAAACTTAACTTACTTTCTCTTGTTCCCATTCCATCACAGATCAGTGCATAAAGCGTGCCTCATTGTCACGGTCTCTTGCCATTAGATTAAATAGCTACAATGCACCTCTCTGTTTTGAAACAGATTCTTAACTAAGCCCTTATTATCTAGGAATCATAGGCTTTCCCTTAAACCCATGCTGGCTAAGTGTTCTCTAAACACGTTGGGTGGTAAGCCTTTTGTAAGCGGATCCGTAAGCATCTTTTCTGTTCTTATATGCTCAAGATTAATTATATGATCCTGGACTTTGTCTTTCACAACATAATACTTTATGTCAATGTGTTTGGCAGCACCACTTGACTTATTGTTGTGAGCATAACATGCTGCTGGATTATTATCGTAGTATAACTTGAGTGGTTTATGTATGTCATCTACCACTTTCAACCCGGACATGAATTTCTTTAGCCAATTCACCTACCCTGTGGCCTCATAACATGCTACAAACTCGGCATACATTGTGGACGATGTAGTGACGGTTTGATTTGAGCTTTTCCACAATATAGCTCCTCATGCGAGAGTGAATATGTATCCTGACGTGGACTTTCTTTCATCTCCCGCATCATCAGAATCTGTATACCCCTCTATGTGCAGGGAATCAGATCTTCTGTACGTTAGCATGAGACCCTTCGTACCTTGCAGGTAACGTAAAACTTTCTTTACTAATTTCCAGTGTTCTATTCCTGGATTACTCTGATATCTGCCAAGCAACCCGGTAACAAAAGCTAAGTCAGGGCGAGTACACACTTGAGAATACTGTAAACTTCCGACAGCTGAACTATATGGAACCGCTTTCATTTGATTGATCTCATATTGGTTCCTGGGACATTGAAATTCCCCATATCTGTCACCCTTGACTATGGGAGTAGGTGAAGACTTACAATTTTGTGTACTGTATTTCTTTAGAACTTTTTCTAAGTATGCCTTTTGTGATAATCCTAAAACCCCCTTTTCTCTATCTCGGTGAATCTCTATTCCTATGACAAACAAAGCTTCACCGAGATCCTTCATATCAAACTTTGAGGACAAGAACTTCTTTGTTTCTAGTAGTAGATTAACATCACTGCTAGCAAGCAAGATGTCATCCACATACAAGACTAGGAAAATGTATTTTCCATTCTTGAACTTTGCATAAACGCAATTGTCCTCTACATTTTATTGAAATCCAAACTTTCTTATTGTACTATCAAACTTCAAATACCACTGTCTTGAAGCTTGCTTTAATCCATAAATGAATTTCTTCAGACGGCATCCCATGTGTTCTTTTCCTTCTACAACAAAACCTTTCGGTTGTGCCATGTAAACGTTTTCCTCCGAAACCCCGTTTAGGAACGCCGTCTTTACATCCATCTGATGTAATTCTAAGTTGTAATGTGCTACAAGCGCCATTATGATTCTAAAAGAATCCTTACATGAGACTGGAGAGAATGTCTCATTGTAATCTATGCCTTCTCTTTGTGTGAAACCTTTCGCCATAAGTCACACTTTAAACCTTTCTATATTCCCTTCGGAGTCATGTTTAGTTTTGTAGACCCATTTACAGCCTACTGTCTTGGTTCCTTTAGGAATTGTTTCTAAGTTCCAAACTCCGTTGGTTTTCATTGATTTTATTTCATCTTCCATGGCTTCAAGCCACTTGGATGAATGAGCGCTTCTCATGGCTTCTTCAAATGAGGTGGGATCATACTCCATTTGAAATTCCTCACTTTTATAAACTTCATAATCATCAGGAATGCCTGATCTTCTGACTCTTTGAGACCTTCTAGGGGCCTCGTTAGATGACGCTTGTTCTACTTGAGGCTGTTCTTGCTCTCTCTCATGTGTGACAATGGGTTCTTAGGGATCCTGAAGGATAGGTTCCTCATGTTCATTCATTGTTGCCATAGGAGAATTAACAACAGGTGCTGTTACTACAGTATCTTGCACCGTTGGTATAGCAACAACAGGTAGCGAGAAGAATAGCTCCTGAACCATAGGAGTGGGCACATATACCCGCTTCTCTTCAAAACTTATTTCTCATGCTACCATGCTTCCCTTGATCATATCATCCTTCAATAAGACAGCATGTCTTGTTTCTACAAACTTCGTTTGTCTGTCAGGACAATAGAAGCGATAACCTTTTGACTTTTCTGTATAGCCAATGAAATGGCAGCTAACTGTCTTGGAGTCCAGTTTCCCTA